GTTGAACTTCAGATTTTCTTTGGTCAGTGAATCTGTTTCTCCTTTGTATCTTCAACGCCTGAGATACTCTCTTCCAACTCTTGTATTCTGTTGGTTATACTTGCATTTGTAGTTCCTGACTGTTTACACACCTTTTCTAATTCCAGCATTCCTTCAGACTTTGTTGGGGTTTTTTTACTCTATTTCAGCTTTCAAACCTTGCACTGTTTGAATTGTTTCTTGCAATTTTTGGTTTGATTTTTCTTCCATTTCTTTAAAGGATTTTCTCATTTCCTCCTTTAGGGTCTCTATCATCTTCATGAAATTGTTTTTAAAGTTATTATCTTCTGCTTGATCTGTGTTGGAATGTTCAGGTCTTGCTGGTGTACAATCCCTATACTCTGGTAGCATATATTGGTTTTCCTGTTGTTGCATGTGCTCTTATATTGTCTTCCCATCCCTTCTTTCAGTGGGTACAGATGAGGTCTCTTCCTCTCTCCTCTCTTGGTGTGTACAGGTCCAAGGTTCTCTTCTGGTGGGTGCAAGCAGGTCCAATACTCTGATGGGTCTCACAGTGAGTGCAGGTGGGTATGAGGCACTCCCTCTTATGGTGGGTGGGAGCTGGATTAGCCAAGTGCTATCAGCAGACTAGAGGTTGCTTGGTGAGCTGGGGATGAGTCGACCTGCTTGCAGTTCCAGGCCAGGAGATCCCAGAGTGGGCAAGCAGAAGTGGGGCCTGAGAACAGGAATCCAAGCTCACCTCTCTCCCGAGTCTCCACTGAAACGTTTAGGGTTTCTTTTTTCCATTTATTGGGGAGGGGGTGTTAAGTGTATACACACATGCATGCCAGAGCATAGGTGTAGAGTTCAGAGGAAAATTTGTGGGAATCAGTTCCCCCTCTACAAGGGACAAGTGCCTTTATCTGCTGAGCCATCTCACTGGCCCTCTGCTGAAAGTTTTAGTTGATTTGCAAAGAAATTCATTTTTACAAATTATGTTTGGTTATTATTGTTGCTGTTCTCTTTATTGATTTATTTAAAAATACTGTTTAGAATTTCTGTATCTTTGCTGGAATTTTTCATACATGTCTTGCATTAACTTCCTTTCTTCATTGTTAAAATCCTTTTTAGATAATGCTCATTTTTAAAAATGTTTAATTCTTTGTCTGACACTTGAATAATTAATTCCATTACCTTCTAATTAGTTATTTTAAAATAGTCATGTATTCCTTGTGTTTCAAACTTATAAACATATGGGCAGACATCTCTTGGGATCTCAATCCCCACTACAAATTAGAGGGAGAAAATACAGACAGCACGAATAGCAACAGTGTAAAAACAACATAGATATTCAAATGTAGAATAAAAAAATTGGAGCAGGGAGATTGGGGCAGAAGGATGAGGGAAGAGAAAGGGATGGGGTAACATCAACCAAAACTAATGATAGTGACAAGGAACCCACATAATAGAAAAGCTAATTAAAAATTAAACCAAAACAAAACAAGAAGTCTGTGGCTGGAGGGGTCAGAGTTCCTTTTAGAGAAGCAACAGCTGCTGTTTTCCTAAGTAGACATGCTATGACAATCATGTGACCTTCCTATGCCCACAGATTACTGGTAATGTCATCTTGGTCAGAGAAGCTTCCTTTTCAAGTAGGTGACAGCAACTGCAGCGACTCTTAACTGCTCAAAGTGCTGATGATAAGTGATGGTTTAATGCTCAGCCCCAAAGGGAACGTATATTAACAGTCACTCCAAGGCTCGGAGAGCATTGAAAACTACGGGACTAAGGAAAAAGGGGCACAGTGTGGAATGCTGAAGTCTAGGCCATACAGAGAAATCCTCACCCAACTACAAGACCAACCCAAATAATAAGGTTAAATATATTCTCTTTGATTGGCCTGAAAAGGTAGAATGCTTTTTTAATGCCCAAGGCCCATATTATCCTAAAAGAAGAGTAATCTGGTGGGGGGTGGTTAATTTGCAAATAAAGATCACAAATCAATGCTGGGTGTGTTCCTCAATCATGTTCCATGTTTACCTACTTTTTTTTCTTTTTAGAAAGAGTGTCACAGGACCCAAAGCAAGCCAATTCTGCTAGTCAGCAAGTCACAAGATCATCCTGTCTCCACTTCCCCTCACTAGTGCTGCTGGCATTACTGAGATATAGCATCATGTTTGCCTAGTCTCTTTTCCTCATGTTTTATCAGTTAAGAATTTTATACAATGTGTTTTCATCATATTAACCCCTCCCTCAACTCCTCCAATATCTACCCCTCTTCATTACTCATTTAGCAGTCTATCATTTTTTAAAGAATTCCACTGAGTCCAATTTATACTGTGCATATACTCTTGAATGCACTGGAGTGTGGTTGACCTGCAAGGGGCCACACAAAGAAAACTGAATTTCTATCTCCTAGAAACTACAAATTGCTAAGAGCTCCTCAGGTAAGGGTAAGACTTCATCTCCATCTCCCCCGACTATGCTGGGATTTGGTCTGACCTCAGCTTCTGCAAGCCTTGTGTACACTGTCACAAACACTGTTCATATGTTTGTTCAACAGCTATGTTATTTCTAGAAACACTGTCATCCACCATCTCTGGCTCTTACAATCTTTCTGATCCCTCTTCTACAATTAACCCTGAGCCTTGGGAGGAGGGTATGTGATACAGATGTGTCACTGAGGGGTGAGCATCCTATAGTCTCATATATTCTGCACCTTGTAGTTTTCTGTTGTTAATTATGGTCTACTAGGAAAAGCAGTTCTTCTGATAACATTTAAGAGCTACACTAATCTATAGGTATAATGATAAGTCTTTAGGAGTAAGTTTAATACTATGCACATTTAGTATAGTAATAGGAGTAGGTTCTCCCCTAGGACTTTTCTAGCCAAGATTCTTGGCCCCAATAATGTTGCTAGGTATGAGTTTCCTTGTATAGAATGAAGTTTAAAGCAATCAGAAAGTGATTAGTTACTACATTGATGTTCAAGCCACAATAACATCAGTTCAATAACAATAACATCTTGCCAGGCCAGTATTAACAGTAGCTCACAGTTCACAGCTGGGTGAAACTGATGATTACTTTTCTCCTCCAGCGGTAAGCATACATCTTCTGGCATTATGAAAGCTAGCCAGTAGGGATAGCTTCCAGGTAAGTACCAGCTTGATTTTTCCATCTTATTTCTTTGTTTTTTTGAGGCAGGATTTCTGAGTAACAGTCCTGACTGTCTTGGAACTCACTTTGTAGACTAGGCCTTGAACTCACCAAGATCCACTTGCCTCTGCCTCCTGAGTGCTGGGACTAAAGGAGTGTGCCACCACTGCCCAGCAATTTTTCCATCTTCTGTGATTCAAGAGTGTGGTGTCTTCAGCAATTGGGTCACATCAATTTCTGAAGTGTAACAAAGAGCACTGGCAATAGCATATAATGTTTGGAGATCTCTGAGACCTCCCTGGCCAACAACTCCAAAAGTAGTAACCCATTCCAGGCACTGGGCTTGTTATCCTCTGTGTCTAGTAGGTAGCCTTTATTATTTTGAGATATGTCCCCTGTATTCCTAGATTCTTCAGGACATGTATCATAAAGGAATTTTTGGGTTTTTGGCTTTTCTTCATGTAATGAGATGATCATGTGGCTCCTGTCACTGTGTCTATTTATGCAGTGAATTATACTTACTGATTTATGTGTGCTGAGCTATCTTTACATTTCTGGGATAAAGATGACTTCACCTTTGTGAATGTATAGAAATATAACTTCCTGTCTTTCTCCCTTTCCATTTCCCTCCTCCATCAGCTGTCAAGATCTCCAGCTAATCTGCTCTATTTTCTCTCTCTAACCCTAACAAACTGTCTCTACGTTCCCACTGAGTTAATTTTAAATTATTTTATCAAAAAAATTCAGGAATTTAGAGAGACTGTGCACCTGAAGTGACAACAGGAAACTAGATCCTGTATACCCTAGACCAGTGGTCCTCAACCTACGTAATGCTGTTATCCTTTAATATAAATCCTCGTGTTGTAATGGTCCCCAACCATAAAGCTATTTTCATTGCCACTTGATAACTGTATTTTTTCTAATTATGAATCATAACCCTGTGAAAGGATCCTTCAATGCTCCTCAAAGAAGTAATGACCTACAGGTTGACAACAGCTTCCCTAGACATACCAGTTTCCCTCCTCCCCAGTTCATACACACATGCAGTGAATCTCCTTCAAAAGGTCATGCTGCATTCTCCTAATAAAATCACCTTCCACTTTCCTCAAAACATAGCCAGAAAATGGTACTGTACTAATGGTTCATGATGTCCAAGTTACAGCCAGCTTCCTGGGGTTACAGTGATTCCCAGAGTGATCACTCACTCAGCCAGGAGGCCTTTGATGCTTGAAGATAAAAGAATGAAGAGGTTTCTTCTCTCCTTGGTCAAAAGGTTTGATCACAGACTTCTAAGATGATTCCACAGAACCAGAGTAAAAACTCCAGAGGTGGGGATCTTCTCCCGTCTGGTCATTGTGCATATGGAGACTGTACATTGCAGAGATGTCATTTTAAACTACATTTTTGAAAAATGCCACTTATGTCTGTAAGGCACTCTCCCTTGTTTTTATTTAAAGCTCTACTGGTATACTACCTTAGGGTCCAATTTCTTCTACAGATCTAAACTTCTTTATTTCTGGATCTGCCTCATCTTTGCCTACTGCTGCACTCCTGACTTTCCATGCCACTCGCCTTTCCCTGTAGCCATGCACCTGACGCTGATGTAGCAAAGTGCCAAATGTCTCAAATGTGGCATCTGCCTCTATCTAGACACATCTTCTTTAAATACACACACACACCATATTTAAAACATAAAAGTTATTCTAAATGGTAAACATAAATTGAGGGTAAACACAAATTGAAGTTTGGAAATATAAGTGATATCATTTGTTTGATTTTCTTAAAGAGGAATCGTAACACTCAAAGAACTTTGTGAAATTTAATTCCAACATAAAAAATTACTGGAAAATGATTTTAACTCATTATGAAACCATTATACATTTTATTATTTTTCATTATTATACAAATAATCGTTTGATACTAGACATTTAGAATATAAAAAGCCAACTTATTTTTAAATGCAAATATAAATCAGCAATTGAAGTCACAAATCTAAATTTTAATATTTTTAAATATTTTTACATAATTTGCCACATATTTATAGCATTTTAATTGGGATCAGCCAAGCTATTAATGAGTGTCTAATGTGGGCCAATAATAAAGAAATGAGCATGAAAAACATCAGAAACCAGTGTATGTTTGTGTCACACACAGTATTTATCAAAATCACCACTAAACTACACGCTTGATTTTTCCTTCCATTTAACACTGGATTCAGGAAACTGTAGTAATCATGAACAAAGGTCAAAATGAAAACACCCTGATCTTGTCGAAGTGTTTACTTAACTGTAAATTGTATATAAATATAAAGTTATAAATTTCTCTTACTCTATACAAAATCTCAGCAAATATTCTAATGGTGTGAGGAAATTTAATCTTCCACACTGAAAACTTTTGCTCTTAAAAAAATTTAAGTAGAGCTACTTACAGAAATATGTACTCAAAATGATAACTGTATTATACAATCATTTCCATATGGAAACTTCACCAAAAACCTCTTATCACAACCAGTAAATGAACACTGAAAACTAAAACTTAGGACTCCCAATGAGAACATAGGCTATTTCAAATGTAAAAATCCAGACAATTACAGAAGGTGTAAATCACGTTCACTGAGTCCAAGTTCAAGCCTAAACAGTAGTTTCCCTATTCCTTTACATTATTTAATAAAACAAGTAACCCTGATTTCACAGTAAGGCTGAAATAATGCAGGGTATGTCCTATCACTTATCTATATATACGTAGGTATTAGAAAACACTAATGGAAACAACAGTTCCCAGGCATAATTTTCTTCATTTTATAGACAACAACTCTTTACTCTAGACCAACAACTAATTGTATTTTGAACAGATCTAAGAAAAGTGCATTAGAAGCACATATTGAAAAACAAATATAGTTTCTGGATGATGGCAGCAGACATCTTTAATCCCAGCACTCAGCAGGCAGAGGAACGTAGATCTCTGAGTTCAAGACCAGCCCGATCTACAGACTACACAGAGAAACCCTGTCTCAGAAAAATAAAAACCCAAACAAAAGACAACACACTGTGAAACTTTGCCTTTCACGGAGTGTCTGGAAGTGTGCTGTCTGATGCTGTTTAGCGGAGCACCTTTCTCTGCACAAGTGCCTGCCAGCATTCCTTCTGCGGAGTCACAGCCCTCAAGCCTAGCCCCCGGGGAAAACTGACCAAGTCTTGTCAGTTAGCAGTTAGACAGGTGAACAAGCACACGGGGACAGCTGCGCTAAATTTTCGCACTGCTTAATAACAGCTCCATCTTCCTGAGTTTGCGTTTGTTCTTTGGCATCGGCTTGGCATATAAGCCGTTTTTCAGAAGATACTCCTTGCTGAGGCGAATCTGAGCACCATGCTGAAGCTGGAAAGAACACAGCGCTTGAAGAGGGCGAAGTAAAGCCTGTTAAGAAAAAAAAATACTACAAATATATTTGTGGCAACTTGTATTCCATCTATATTTTATTTCGAATACAGACACTTATGTGTTATTTTTTATTTGTTTTTGACTGTGAAGAGTAATGACTATTCTAACACCTCATAATTATTTCTAAATTCACAGATGCTAATAAAAGGAATTATATTCATTTTCCATATAGAAAATAAGGAGTCGGAGTTAAATTTTATACACTAATTTATTTAGATAACATGAAAATTTGTCATTACAATAATTTAACCAGTTAACAAGAAGATTAAAGGAAGCATTTAAGTAGATAAGCATATAACATTAGTTGAATTTCAATCACAGTCAGTGTACCTCATTGACACAAATTCTGTGATGACAGCCAAGTCACAGTGAAATATTATAATTTTACACCCTGACTAAAATAAATTTCTGCAGAGTCAAGCATAGAACATTAATGTATTAACTGGATTTACATGTAAGTTAATAGAGATAGTAAAGGCTGTCATATAACTGGAGTATGTGCTCTATATAAGGTTATTCAAATCAAAAGCTAAAATAAACTTAAATAGCATTTTAAATACATTTTGGGGGTCATATTCTTTATACAGAAGACTTATCAAAACAATTTAAATAACCATAGCAAAAGGTTGAAAAGGCTACTAAAGAATCAGTTTTTAAAAAGAAAAAAAAAAAACTAAGCCAGGCAGCAGTGGCACGTGCCTTAAAATCCAGCACGTGGAAGACAGAAACAGAAGGATCTCCGAGTTGGAGGCATCTACAGAGTGAGTGCCAGGACATCCAGGGCTACACAGACAACCCTGTGGTGAGGGGAATAAAAGAAAAAATTGATAGAAAAAAATCCAAAGCATTTGTGTGAAAATTTATTCCACAACAAACACAAAATACATGGTGTATTTTAATATCTAAAAATATGAAGGGACTTTACTTTACAATGAAGTATTAAACATTATGACAGTCTCTGATAATTGCTTTATCCTTACTAGTAGAACCTAAATTGTATTCGTGAAGGTACTGTACCTATCTACTAATAAAATGAGTAATGATGGGTAAATGAAAATCACATGGGATAGACTTTTAGAAGCATTCAAAGCCAACAGATTTACATAACATATGGTTTTTTGCCCACTTTTCCTATCAAGAATATAATTGTAGATGTGGTTCAACCACCAATCAACAATAAATGTGATTATTAAAGCCAAACACAGAGGATGATGGACAGACAGAAAACAAATGTGGGCTTTTTGTGTTTATGTGTATGGGTGTTTTGCCTACATGTATGTCTGTGAATTACATGCATGCAGGGCCCACAGGGCAAGAAGATGTCATTAGAGAATTATGAGCTGTCATGTTGAGAAATAAAGCTGGGTCCTCTGGAAGAGCATCCAGTGCTCTTAACTGCTGAGCCATCTCTCCAGCCCCCAAATTTGGGTTCCTGATGTCCTTTCCAAGCTACATTTATAACTCAAGACTTCCCATTTTAGAATGTTGTATTTAAGGAAGTTTTTTTTTAAAGAACTGATTTAACCAGATGGGCAGTAGGGCTCATGTCATTAGTCCCAGCACTCAGGATGAAGAGGCAGTTGAATCTCTGTGAGTTCAAGGCCAGCCTGGTCTACAAATCAAATTCCAGAACAGCCAGGGCTATTACACAGAGAAACCCTGTCTCAAAACAGCAACAACAAATAAAAACCTACTGTCTTTGTTTTTAAATGCTGTTACACATAATTTCTTATTGATACAGACCAGTAAGGGAAAAAAAAAGACAAGTATTTTGGAAAACTCTATACATAACTCTATACATTATTGTTGAAAGTCCATTATGTATGTTTTCACTATGTGGAAAGCCCATTAGGAATGTTTTCATTATTTCTTTTAATAAGAAAGACAGGAAATGAGGGCTGGAGAGATGGCTCAGCCATTAAACGCTAGGCTCACAACCAAAAATATAAGACAGGAAATGAAATAGAAAAATGTATATATGTTACTTAAAAGCCAACCCAATGGACAGACTGGATGATAAAACATCATAGGACTGTATACAGATAGAAGTAACTTAAAAGTATCTTCATGCTCTGAAATTTACTTTCATAGATAGAATAATGCTAATATCCCTTTGGCCAAATACCTCCAACTTTGACAACCCAAAGACAAAATTCTACAAATTTACTTAAATAATAGAAATACCTAAACCAGATCCCCATTTCATCTCTGTTGTGGTCACTAACAATAAAGTCATTTTTTGTCTTGGTAAATGATCAGTTTACATTTTTTATTCCTTTTGAAGTTAGGCATGGTCACTGCCCTACTTAGTTTTAATTGTCAACGTGATACAACCTAGAGTCATCTTGAGGAATTGCCGAGATCAGACTGCCCTGACAGCGTGTCTTTGGTCAACTGTCTTGACAGTTAATCGACTATGAGGGTACAGCTCACTGTGGATGACACCATTCTTTAGGCAGCAGGTACTGGCTAAGCTTAAGCCTATGTGTGAGTCAGCAAAGAAGCATTCCTTTATGATTTCTGTGGCAATTTCGTACTTGAATTTCTGTCTCAACTTCCCTCAATGATGGACTGCTTCTTTGCTTTTGGTCGGAGTAATTTATCACAGCAACACAGATCAAACAGGCTTAATGAAAAATGAGGAGTACAAGTACCATATGTCATCTTTGGGTAGAAGCATTACAGGTAATGCAGGACTTACCGCTTTTCTTGCCTCTTCTTTCTGAAAGTGGAATACTTCTGGATAGTTTTCCATAGATCTGGGTCACTAAGGACTTGCATGAACCTCGAGGCCCTCCTGGCACTCCCACTGGACAAGTAGCCTACCTTAATGTTGCTATCATATGCTAGATATGTGCTTCAACATAGTAAAGTCTACCTAACAAAGTTATTATCATAACAAACAGTAAGTGATATAATGGATCCCAAAAATTACAGTGTTGAAACCATTACCTGACATTCAATAAATGATAATGCTTCTAACATAAAGAAAAATATCAGACTTAAGTGAGAGTACATAAGAAAATCCCATTTATAAAACAAGTTTGTTTCTAAGTGTTTACTAAGGGAAAATTAGTGTTATATGAATTGATGGGGGAAGTCCTGTGTATATGTCAATAAAGCACTGTTGGCCAATAGGGAAGCAAGATAGGTGGGACTAGGACTCAAGGAGGACTCTGGGTAGGAGAAACACAGGAAGTCAAGATGTAACTGCCATAGGGATAAGAAGCCCGGAAAGTTATCCGGTAAGAGAAATACTTAGATTAACAATTATGGGATAAATACTTAAGTCAGAGCTAGCCAGTAAGAAACAAGCAAGGCCAACAGCTTCAATAATTAATATAGCCTCCTGTGTGTTTATTTGGGATTGATGTGGCTCTGGAACCAGGCTGGCGGGAAGGCTTCTCTTTACAATGAAGCCTTCTGTCTGCATGTATGTGGTCACAGTTTATAAGAGGTTATTCCTAGCAATCACTGATGCTGGACAGAGCTAAGAGCTTTTTACACTTTGAAATTCTTTAAGGTAAAACTTTCCACATAAAGGAAGACCTTGAAGCAAAACTAATCCTGAAGCTGAAGACCCCCCCCCCGTAAATACTCAGTAGACTAATAAAACCTTTATTGATCTATTGGAGAGGCACAGAAACTCCAAAGTGCTTGTGTTGATGATGGTAGCAATTAATACACCTCACTTCATTTTACAATAGTAAGGTAATGGAGACTGAAAATATTAGGAAAGTCCTTTCCCACTGAGCTACATCCCCAGCCTAGGTAAGCATTTTTACGCAAGTTAAAAAGGAAAAACCAGAACAAAGAAAGATTATGCAACTGGCCCGGCAAGCCATGCTAACAGTAGATGGTACAGCTACAATTCAAGCGGATGTCAAAGCCTGCACTGTGCTCTTCCAGGAGCCACTCTCAGCCTCTCACATCCTCCGGCTTCCGGTGCTTCAAACTTGCTCCAGCAAGTTTGGGGGTGAACCAAAAGACTGAAAATCACTGTTCCATTAAACTTGTTTACTCTTACAGTCTCATGTCTATAGAGTGAAGCCATACAGTATTTTGCTATTTTCCAAGGTCTCACAGTTTTTAAAAGGTTTTCTATGAGAAATACATTATATAGCTTCCTGCCAAGGAAGAAATAATACACCCATTGTCACAGAAGACAGTAACTGTGTTCCATAAAGAAGTATGCTATTCATTTTATGTAACTAATTTTTAACAACTTGGCCTTAGGGTTCACTTCTAATAAAACAACTTATACTATAAACTGGGAGCAAATGTGTTTGCTTTGGAGCCTGTCCTGGCACTCACTCTGTAGACCAGGCTGGCCTTGAACTCACAGAGATCTACCTGCCTCTGCCTTAGAGTCACCCAAGTCATAGATATAATTGTCAGACACTGTTTCCCTACTGGCCACTGTGATCTGATCCTTCCTGAAAGTTGAAGTAGGCAGAACAAGGGTTCCAGGCCCTTGTTACTATGGAAGTTTATGTTCAATCCATTCATAAGGAATAACAAAATCTGAGGACAAGGGGGTCCCATCACAAGTCTACACTTTAGTCATTGCTTATTCTCAGATATTATACATAGGACATACATTATCCAAGTCTTGTGTGGTCATGATAAAGACTCCTCTTATTTTAAGATACCATATCATAAACCATCACATATAATCTAGTAGAAATCAATGTCAGCTATTATCTTTTTGTCATCCATGAATGTTTCTGGTTTCTTGAAGAAGGAAAGGTGGTGAACAGATGGAAATAAAGTTACACAGATGGAGAAAGGTGACAGGTAAAGAAGTGTCTGCGACACCCTAGTCATTCAAGGCACAAAACTAGGATTGCTGGGAAGCGTTTTTCTCAAAGACAACGCAGGGGAGTGAAACTGTTTGGCTGCAACAGTCCACACGCACATCCAAAGGAACCATCATCATGACACACAACTTCCATCAAAAGAAGAAAGGCTCCAAGTCTCACTCTTATAGCCCAAGGCCCTGGGAGGGGCAAAGCACTCAATCCTGGCTCCCAGCCCTCGGCGACTCTTCTGTAAACTCTGACGACCTTTTCAGTTCTCTTCAGGACTAACATCTTTATAATTTCTGGCTAGATTTTATTCACTGCTGAGATTTCCTTCATGATACTGCACAATGAGACAAAGAGGAAGCAGGAAAGAGTGCTCTACATGAACATGCATGTGTGAGTGCCTGTGTGGTGGTGGAGTTACCAACTCCATTTTTTAACTGTCATCCTCTGACTTTTTTTTTCAAGTAAGAAATAATAGCTTATTTATTTTTCACAATTCATCTTAAAATTATTTATTTACTATACTTTATGCTATAAATGTTAAGCTTCTAACATGTCCCCAAAAGTTGGGATATTACTAAGCTCATTGAAATGTTATTATCTGTTGATAATTTTTAGTTATATATGTAACCATTAGAATTTTATGGGAATTAAATATAATGTTGATTATAAGTTAAATCCTTTTCTTAGTATAAGGGCATTTCTTTGCATTTAAGTACCTATTTTACACTGTATGCAAGCTTAATAAAGTAAACAGAATGTTAACATAGCCCCTCAAATAAAGGCACCAATGCAAACAATGTTGCTGGAAAATGTTCTTTTAATTAAAAAGAAAAAAGTTACTCACCAGAGAATGCAAACTACTTAAAAAAGAAGAAGAGAACACTAAAGGAAAAATCTAGCCAAAAAAAAAAAACTCTATTGAATGCTGTGCTACTTACATGCAATTTAGAATATTAAAACTGCTATTTGCACAGCTTAGAGGGAATATTTAAATAATGCAATCTGGAAAGATACACCAATACAGTAAATACCAGAGAGGAAGATTATGAAAGTCCATAAATATCTACTGCAGATATACTCCTCTTGTCATTTATTTTATACAATTTACAAGTTATGCATGTCTAAATTTTCTAAATAAAATCCAACCTGACTTTAAAAATACTATGACTCCCACGTACCTCTTGTATGTAGTTATTTTTCTCCAAAATGGAAAGTGCAGCAGCAGCACATTCTAAGGTAGAAAGGCACCTGCTAGTTGGTTGCATCCGAATTACATATTGACTACAAATGTTAGTTTTTAACTGCACCTGAAACCAAAAACAAAGTAATAAATTGTAATTTTCATCTTAAATTTAAAATTATGAAATATATATTTTAAATACTACTCGCCTTTCTCCTAAAATTGCAAGTTTAGAAATATTACATACATCAGTATCTTTGCACATATCCTTTAGTTGTTATTATTGTGTAGCAGAAACAAGAGTCAAGTTACAAAAAGATAGCTGGCAAAGAAAAGATACCTAGAATACATTCAGATTTCTATATACCCCAAATGACACCAGTAACACCCTCCAATGAGGACAAGAGTGAATACATACTTCACAGAAGACAAAAGAATAGCAAATAGGTACTTGGCAAAGTGCTCAAATGACCCAACTGAGTAGCTTATATTAAAAAAAAAATTAACATGAGGCCGGGGATATAGTGCAGTGATAGGTTCCTTGCTGGGCATGCAGGAAGTTCCCAACCCAATCCTGAATGTTGCCTTCCCCTTATCTTGACCCAAAAAACCTAACACCATTATATCCAAATATGGAGGCCCAGAGCCCTCAGAGCACACAGCCCTAAACAAGACGTCTCAATTGAATCCCTAAGAGCTCAGGGAACCCTGTGGAAGAGGAAGCAGAAAGAGTGTTAAGAGCCAAAGGGAATGGAGAACACCACGGAAACAAAGTCCTCTAATCACAGGATCCACGCACATATGAACTTAGAAACTGAGGCAGCATGCACAGGGCGTGCATCAGTCTGCACGAGTTAGAGTCCTAGGGCTGAAAGAAGTGGACATATGCCCCCACAATGCTAACCCAGAGGCTATCTCCATGTGATAACTATTTTCAAATGAAAATTTAATATTCTCCAAGGGAATCTCACTGGGGAAAAAAACTTCTCGTAAGTGGAGGCCATATGCCCAGTGGTAGATGGCCAATAAAAGATGAATTTGTTAGCATCTTTGGAGGCTACTTGTCTAATAATATCATGGCAGAGCTTTTTGTTCTATTTTAAAATATAATTTTATTTATATTTTTCTCTCTTTATATCCCAAAGGTCCTCTGTGTACATATTATGGTTTTCATTTAAGTGTTTTCACAGATTATTGAGTGTGTGAATGAGTGGATCTCTGTGTCTGTATGTTTTCTTGTGCCTTTTTTGGGCTCTTTTCCTTCTGTTTGTTTTGTCCTATCCAAATGGGTTTTTGTTTTAGCTTATTTTATTATTATCCCTTAGAAGCCTGTCTGTTTTCTAATGAGACAGAAAGGGGGATAAAATTGAATGGGAGAGGAAATTGAAAGAGTAGAGGGAAGGGAAACCATAGTCAGGATGTAAGAAAAAACCTGTGACTTTCAATGTAAAATAAAGGACTAGCTGTACACTTAAAATGTGGCACATATATACAATGAAATTTTACCTAGTTCTAAAGAAAAATGGAAATATGACATTTGCAGGAAAAACAGATGCAAATGAAAATCATTATGCTAAGCAAAAAAAAGGGGGGCTTAGAAAGAAAAATACATCATGTTTTCTCCCATATGCAGAACAAAGATTCAAACTGTGTGTGTGTGTGTGTGTGTGTGTGTGTGTGTGTGTGTGTGTGTGTGTGTGTGTGTCAGGAGTACTGGAAAAACAGTAATAAATAAATAAAAATATGTTACTTCTTTGACTAAATTAAAATTTAACACTAGCAAAACCCAGTGCAGAAAAAAATAAGTTAAATATGAACCTGTTCAGGCATTTAAATAGGAAAATTCTGTTTTGCAATATTTTTAACTATATGGCATCATTTAGAAAATCATAAAAAAAATGCAGGGGATTGAGTTTTTCATTTATATGTTTCAGAATTTCTTTCCTAAGAGAAGATGTGACAGTATTTACATTAACTGTATGAAGAATGTATTTGAGGACTTCCATATATAAATTTTTAACCTCTGAGTTCAGAGGAAAATTCTGCATTGTGAATGTTTGTGTAAATATTCTGTATTTACAAATGTTATTCAAAATAAGTTGCATTCATTTGTGAACCGTTATCATTTGGGGTTAGCAATGGGGGCTTAAGACTGCTTCTCTTAGGGGTGGACCCCTACTTGGTGCAGACCTCTCTAGGTCCTGTATATTTTGTTTCAGGATACTGTAATCTATGAGTATAGTAGAATGTCATTAGGAGTCATTTTACTGTTATATTCCCTTAGCAGAACAGTGGTATTTGGTTTTCCTTTCAATCTCTGACCTATCTAGTCTTATTTTCTTGGCCACCTGAGTACTGCAGGGAAGGGTTCCATCTCCTGAGACAGACCCTCAATCCAACAAGATACTATTATGCCCATAAGCTTTATGCCACGATTGTACCAATATATCTTGTGGCAGATCATTCTTGTAGGTGACAGGTTTTGTAGCTAGGTTGGTATTTACCTTTTTCCACTGGTAGTATGCAGAGTACCTCTCAGTATGATGAACACTATTCTGTAGGTGTGAAGGCTCTAGGTAGGAACCAGCTTGACTTCCTCGTGTCCAATGAGTTGTGTAGGTGTTGTCTTCAGCAATAGGGCCCTATCGCCAGTTTTTTGGAGAGCAACCAATGCCTTGGCAATATACTAGGTTGTTTGGGCCCCTTTGGCCAAAAACTCAATTAGATATTCTGGTACTGGGAGCTTCATTTGGTGATGAGATCTATCCAGTTGGCATCCTCTCTCCACTGCTATTTGGCCATTTTTTTTTTTTAGATCACCTTCATACATGTGTATATTTTCCAGGAAGCATCTACTATATAGGGTTTTCATATAACCTCCCTGATGGTCCTTAGTTTTAGCTGTCTCTCCCTCTTAGCTCTTCCTTCCTGTCTGATTCTCTGATTCTGGGACCTCCCTCCACATCCACCATAACAAACTATTCTGTTTTTTTATGGGGAAGTCCTGTGTATATGTCAATAAAGCACTGTTGGCCAATAGGGAAGCAAGATAGGTGGGACTGGGAGTTGAGGAGGATTCTGGGAATGAGAGACACAGGCAGAGTCATGATGTAGCTGCCATAGGAATAAGAGGGTCAGACCCCTTTCTCCGGTAAGAGAAATACTTAAGATTAACAATTATGTGATAAATATTTAAGTCAGAGATAGCCAGTATTGGTATGGTTTTTCATTTATTGATACAAATTCAAGGTCAATTTTGTGATGTACATATTTCTCCTCTTGATAAGTATTGTGTTTATACTAATCTTTTAAAACATAATACATAATTAAGTACAGATTATAGATAGTTACTTATAATAGTCAGAACTTATAGTTAGGTTAGTTAGGTTTTCTAGATATACAAAAATATATTTGAGATAGATAGTCTTCAAACCTTTCAAAGACCTTCAAAAAATGACATTTAAAATAGTTTAAGGTTTTTCTTGACAATAAAAAATGTCTGCTCCTGACAGCACCAGTTACATCTGAGAGGAAGATGGGCATCAAAGAAACCTGTTATGGAGTTTACTTTCAACATGGCAAGATTAGCCATTTGGGCAAGAAATGCTCTTGCCTAGACTGTTTGACTGTTGCTATATAAACTGGACATACAGGACCCACAAAAAAGTGACTACTAAACTCAAACAGTCCTTCAGGGTTACTGCTTCATGGAAGAGTCTACCAGACTTTCTACAGACACAAAAAAATGACTGACACACTGCCAATGCAGATGGACAGTTCAAAATTTCCTACTTTGCTGAGAAGACTTCCAGACACATTGAGGCCTATGGGCTAAAGATGGATGCCCCAACATTACAGAGGAACTTCAGGTGACTGTCTAGGTAGCAAGATGTCTCTGTCAATTCTAGTGTTTATATATTATCCTTCTGTGGTCTTTAATGGAGTTAAAGACAAATAGCTATACATATAGTTTTCCTTAGTTATAATAAAAGATAAACTACATATAAAACTTTAGACTCACAAAGATAGGATAGACAATATTTCTTTAAATCTTACTAAATGTTAATAAACAAAATATTATAACTATGTTTTCACTTGATAACTGTTCTGTTATATATAATTTGACTATGTTAAAGTTAAAACCTTTCTTTTTAGATAGAAAAGAGGAGATGATGGGAAAGTCCTGTGTATATGTCAACAAAGTACTGTTGGCCAACAAGGAAGCAAGATAGGTGGGATTAGGAGTTGAGGAGGATTCTGGGAAAGAGAGACACAGGCAGAGTTATGATATAGCTGCCATAGGAATAAGAGGGTCAGACCCCTTTCTCCAGTAAGAGAAATACTTAGATTAACAAATATGGGTTCAATACTTAAGTCAGAGCTAGCCAGTAAGAAACCAAGCAAACGGCCAACAGCTTCGTAATTAATAGTGTCTTGCGTGTTATTTGAGGGTTCAGACAGTGCAGCAGAGCCCAAGCAGCTGGCGGGGAAAACTATACTGTACATGTTTTCTCTTTGTAGGGAGATCCATCCCTCCCTAATCCCTTGCTCTATACCTAACTTCTGTGGTTCTATAGATTATAGTTTGCTTTTTGAACACTTAAGAGCTAACATCCACATATAAGTAAAAAAATAACACATTTGTGTTTCTGAGTCTGAGTTACCTCACTCAGGATGAATTTTTCTAGCTCTATCCATTTGTCTGTGAGTTTCATCTTTTTAAAAGCTGAGTAATACTCCATTGTGTAAATACACATTTCCTCTACAGACATCTAGGCTGTTTCCAATTTCTGGCTATTATGAATAGAGCACAAATGAATAAGATTGAGCGAGTTAGAGAGATCTTTTGGGTATATGACCAAAAGTGGAATAGCAGATCTTGGGGTAGATCAATTTCCATAATTGCTATACACATTTGTATTCCCACCAGCAATAAATGAGTGTTCCATTTACTCTGCATTTTCACCAGCATGTGCTGTCATTTTTTTAATTGCTTTTGGCCATTATGAAAGATGTTAAGTTAAAAATCTCAGAGTAGTTTTGATTTACATTTCCCTGATGACTCAGGATGTTGAACACTTCTTTAAGTGTTTCAGAACCATTTGTATTTCCTGTTTTGAGAATTGT